GAGCTTTTCCCTCCCTTCAGCTACCATTGCCACAGGACCAGGCAGAGACACACTGCATCATTCATTCGCAAGGGGGGGAGGGAGGAAAGGAGAGGCAGACACATGTGGTGTGAATTAAGGAGGGCAAGTCAATCGCAACACTGAATTTCCTGAGCGGCCGTTTTCCACCACAACGTTAGCGGGATTTAAATGCCGTTTCTTGCGCTGCTTTTAAAAGTCAGCTTCCTCTCGTCTTTACTTCTGGGACCACAACAGTGTCAGCGTTACATTTCCCACGCTTTGGATTCGAGCACCCACCATCACGTTTTCTCCCCGATTAAGTATTGTTTTAAAAAAATATTTTAAATAATGAACTTTTTAAATGGGAAAAAAAAAGTGACTGGACAGGCCAGCAGTTTTCTGGTATCTGAGCCTATTTCTAGTTTTGGAAGCATATTTACAGTGACAGTCGCTTAACATTTGGCTGCAACACATTTTAAAATCCTTGGGGCAGATTCTCTGCTGCGCCCAGCTTTCGTTTAGATGTGCCCGTGCGCGGCCTTTCAGGGAGCCTTTTACAGCTCCACGATTCTCTGCCCCAACCCCAGCCTTGGCATGGACTGGGAGCTGCTCTCTCATTCATACCAGCAGGCTACGGTCTCCAAGAAGCTGTGGGGAGAGAGGCAAAGGAACTGGGTCCACTGGCTCAGTGCCTGCTGGGGAATTCCCAAAGTGGGAGGTTATCCCTAGCAGAGGGCTTAGGGGAGGTTTCTGCTCTCGGAGACCACTGAACACAAACAGAATAGTTCTCAAGTTGGGATAAACTCTCCCAAATGCTGCCATCAGAGGAACTGCTGTGTTAGTTCGACTGCAGTGAGTAAAACATTGCCAGCCCGGTGGTCTGAGCAGACATGCACTGAGCACCAGGGCCTGGGGAATTCAGTTTCTAGTCTCTCAAAAATAAATAAATACCGCCAGCCCCCAACCTGTATTTTTTTTTTTTTTAAACACAAAGTAGTTGATTGAGCGGGTGCAGACAGCAGTGAGTCAGAGCCATGCATCCTGCTCATCGCGCCTCCTACTCTGATGCAGGCAAGCCAGGCAGCAGGGGCCAGGCCATCATGATTTGAGACTACACGGGAGAATTCTGCCAAAAGTTCTCAGGGGGTGGGGGAACATCAGCTTCTGCAGCCGGGGAAAGACGTCAGCGTGGTTTCACACTGAGTGACCCATCAGACAGGGACGTCTCTGGACTGCTCAAAACACTTGATGAGTTTGCACTGTCAGTCCTGATCTAATGAGGAGGAGGTGCTGAGTACTGGAAGGGAATTCCTACAAGAGCAGGCCCTCGCCAAACAGCCTATGATACACTCACTTAACTGGAGTTTCTGCAACTTCCCAGTTCTCTAGCAGGTACTGGGGAGACAACCATCCTGCATGGGCAGGGGCATAGCCTAGATGACTTACCAAGGCTATTCCGTTACTAATTGCTAAGATTAAGGACCATACTTTGCTCTTGATGAGCGTCAGGGAACTTCCATTGATGTTAATATGGATGGAGGGCAGTATGCAGGTCTCAGAAGAACTAGTTTGGGAAGATGAATTGCAAACCACTTGGGATCAACAGCCAGGTCTTTATGGCAGGTATTTGAGAGACTAAATACAAGACAGAAAGAGATCAACTCAAGGGAAAGCAAATCAAGGGGATACTGAAGCAGCCAATACAAAGGCATTGTGAAATTCTTTTCAAACGATGTTAAAATAAGATAGTGATGCAGAAGGAGAGAGAATGAGAACTGAGATGACTGGTAAAAGAAGCCTTTTCTGGCAAGGTCTGAACTACAAGAGAAATGGCAGAAACAAAAGGCAGGTAAATGCTGTATTATAAAAAAAAAAGTATGGGCAGAGATTTGGTTGGATAAAAATCTGCACATTTACTTCAGTGGTATTTGCAACTCAGTTACAAGGGAATTGTTTTCAACCCAGAAGAATGATCACAGACAGCTAAAGTCTTCTGAATACTTGTGCAAAACTGTATTTGTGCCAGTGTTCACATGGCCAACTTGAAAATGAGTTAGGCCAGGTCTACACTAGAAAAGGTCTGCTGGAGCTATACTGGTATAGCTATGCCAGCAAACCCACCTAGTGTAACTGCCGCTTATACCAGTATTTTTGTCAATAGAACTTATACTGATTCCCAGAGCAAAATCAGCTATGCTGGCAAAAGCACTTTTAGGCTGGTATAACTGCACCTCCACTAGGGTGTTTGCTGGTGTAAAAACATCCACAAAAAAAAATCAAAGTCACACCCCGACAGACATAAATACTGGCAAAGTTTCTAGATAGACCCGGCCTTAGGCCCTTGCTCAGGGAAGCATTCCTATGTAGGACAGCACTTAAGCACATGAAGTTAATGAGATGCACATGCTTCTGTGCTGTACGGAATAGGAATGGACTTAAGCGTGTGCACCAGGGCTGTTCTGAACTGGGGACTTAGGCAGCCCCATTGACTTAGTCCAGTCTCTCCCGCCCCTTTTTTTATAAATCCAGTGCAGGACTGTTCCTTCCTCAATAGCTTCTTCTCTGATGTATAAAAATTTCAACCAGCCACTTGGGAAGCATAAATAATGGCAAACGACTTAGGTGAGCACTTAAAGTGACCAGCCAATACTCAAAGCCCGTAGCTGCAGTGAGTAGTCCACAAGCGACTCATATCTGAGCTACGTTTGCATAAAACATCAGCGTGTCATTGTGAATGACGAACCAATTAAGAAATACAATGACTGCTGGCAGATAATTCGTACACAGCAAAGAGGGCTCTGTTTATCTAATAAATCATTTGCTATGAATAGCTCACCCAGCTCTTCTGCAGACAAGCCTTTTCAGGTCAGAAATCAACACTGGCTTAGAAAGATGTTTAGCCCCTACTCACTAGGCACTTGGGAGCATTGTTCCTAGCTAAGTCCTGAAGTCAATTTTTCCAGATTCATCCTCCTACCCACCCTGAAATGGTCTATACCAGCTTAGCGGAGAACTGAAAACGTTGGATGCTACTGTACTATTGCCCAGGCAGATCTGTCTATCTAGCTTGTCTAGTGCAACCATCACCATAGCAACCAGGTGTCAAAAGGTAGAAAAAGCAGACAGCTCGAAAGCAGCAGCGGAAACTTTAAAATGGTAAAGAGATTGCCTAGGACTTACCCAGACCAACCACTTTGGAACCTGTCATGTTTGTCTGTTAAAATTACCTTTATCTTTTGATTCTAGTAGCGTTGCAAGGGGATACAGTCACAGAAGATTTCATGTTCCATTGACTAATTCTTCCTGACGTTTGGTATCATAGTAAATGCTTATTTCCCCTCCCCGCTGCCCAAGGAAACAAGTAAGACCTGTCTCCAGAGTTAAAATGAACCATAACATTCAAACTCACTAGAATCAATACTGTTGATTTCATATTATTCTTTCCCCCTTTAGGCATCTATTAAAGCAAAGTGCTCAGTACCATGATGCGACTGGTTTAACCTAGAACGACAAACGACCACTTTTAGCCCAACTGAGCTTTTTTAGATTTAAAGACGTTGGATTTTCAATTGTGGACATACAGAACAAAAATAAACTAGCTGGAGAATCCATTCGGCCTGCCTATGGGAGTAGCTGGTGACCAGCGATCCTGCCAATTTATTACGCGACTGTTGGAACATACCATTGGGCTAGTCAAATTTCAGCAAGGGTGATTAAAGCTGTGTCTGGTTCAAGATGACTAGTTCTGTAAGTTCAGGATCTCAACACTTTGTCTTCAAGGCACTCAATACCAGGGGACCTAAAAAAATTGCCTAAAGCTCCAGAATGAGGACTGTGGTCAGCAACTCCACTGCCCTGGCAAAAGGCAACTTTCCACCATCGGAGTAATGCTGGTGTGTGCAGGAGTCAGTACTGCCTTCAGGTTTGGTCCCAGACTTTGGAATTAATTCCCACAGGAACTAAAGACTGTCATAAACCTCACCAACTTTTGCTCCAAGTGTATGGCCTTCTGCGACCTGCCTTCTCAGATATAAACAGAGAGCAGCGGTACTCTTAAAAAAAAAAAATCCCCAAAATGTAAACCCGCTACATCAACACACAATTCTCACCCTAAGGAGTGGAGGAAGGACAAACTTCATGTAACAGATGCTGGATCACGCTGTTTAATGCCCTGCAGGAAGGTGCTCAGGTGAGGCTGTTACAACCACCTGTAGAGCAAGGGGAGAGCAAACAAGAATGGCCCTCCAAAAATTATGGCCACCCTTTTGAAAAGTGGCCACTGCTTTCAGGTGTCCAACCTGAAATCTTTGTGCCTTATTTTCAGCCATGCTGAGACAACATAAATCGAGCAGAAGTCAATAGGAGCTGTGGGTCCCCTGCCTCTTTGAAAAAGAGATACCAGGTCTCTACAGTTGAGCGCCCTGAATCTGAGGCACTAAGGAGTAACATTCGCTCTGAGAGCTTCCTGGCAAATGCTGTGTGAGAGCTTTGACCACGTGTGACAAGACAACTGGTAGCCTTGGGGGCAGATTCAGCAAAGGCACCACAAACCTCACCAGCTCTCAATGTATCACCTGGATTAGAAAAGAGTAAACCTTCTTCATCTCTCTATTTCGCAGCCCTGCCCTCGTTTGCTCTCCTGTTCCTCACCTCCACTCCTTCTCTCACCCCTTCCCATCACCCACTCTCAACCTCCTGCCAGCATCCTGTTTTCTCCCAAACCTTCCCACCTCCCCTCCTCTCCCCGCAGCTGTCTGTCCCTCGCCCTGTTCTTGCACGTGGGAATAAACCAGGAGTGCAAAATAATGTAATGTCTATAAAATCCCCAAATGTCTGCAAAATCAAGTGATCTCATTGTCTGGTATTTGTAATGCTTGTTCTTCATTTCTCACTACCTGTTTGCTGTGTCCTTACCTTCCCTTGTCTCTAGTTGGATTGCAAGCACTTCCCAGCAGGACCTGCCCATTCTAGTGGGACCATTGAACGGAGATCAGACTCACCAGCACACGATCTCCAAGCCGTAAGTCTTTATCGCCCTTTTTCACGGACCCGCTGTCTGACAGGTTAGATCCAGATTCATTTCCGGTTTTCATGGTGTTGTTCAGGACGCTCTCCCTCAGGGGGATGACACGAGTGGAGAGAGGCGGCGTAGCCGTCCCTGAGTGCAACGACAAGTTCTGAGTTGTCAGGGACTCCACAGAATGGGCATCGCTGCCCGAGCCCTCCGCCACGGGCTGGCGGGTCAGCTTGGAGGGCCGTGTAAAAATCCCCTGCAGCGGCTGGCACTCAAAGTAACGTACGCCACCAACGGAGCCGTCATTCTTACCCACCGGGTCATCCAGAACAACCCCTGCCCACTGGCCGGGGGCGAACTGGGTCTCCCCAAGATACTGGATCACGCCTGGCTTCACTCCGTTCACCCAGACACGTTCGCCCACCACGAAGTCTCCCAGGAAGTCATCGCCCACCTCAGTGACCTTTGATCCTGGCTTCTCGGTGCTGGCAGTGGAGGTGGGACCCTGCTTGTGCAAAGGTGAGCCTGCAAATTGAAGGAAAACAGGACTTGGTGTGATGTGAAGCCAGATTACTAGGAAAGTGTATTAAAACTAGAAGATCCAGTACCATCATTCAGGTTACCTATTTATACAGGACACAGACAAGGACTGGAGCCACAGTGGTTACTTACACATCTGGAACACTGACCCGCCTCTGCAGCTGAAGAGGGGAGTTATTCATAAACAATTCAATTTCAGCCCAGCATCTGCCTCGCTGTGCGTATTAAGAACCCACCTGTGTCTGTTTCCCCATTCACAGGAGGAGAGTCAGAAATAAAACTACTTACTGCCAACCTCAGAGCAGTGTTGGAAGGATATTAGGGTAGGTAGTTACTGCGTGTATGCTGCTTTGCAGAAGTAGCACCAAGAACAGTAATAAAGGGCAGCAGAAGGAACCGTGGCAGATGCTCAAAGAGCCTATGAGGCCCAAGGTAGCTCATTTTCCACCTCTCCTCAGGGAGGAAATCACTCCTATGAAAAATGGAGAATCGATTTTCCCTGGTGGTGTTAGGGCAGTGCTCACTATATGCAAAGAGTTAATAGATAAAGCACTAGTAGATGGCGCTCGAGGGCGTGTAGCATAGCTCCTGGCTTTTGTAGGAACAGTCAAACTTGCTGTTGTTGTGCACTGCAAATGGCTTCCTTTGTGCGGCTCTTTGCATCCGGCTTGTAAGAGATGCAGCCAAGACTCAGAAGTAAGGGGACCAACTGGACTAGTCTCAGTATAAGAAAACAAAGACGTCAAAAAGCCTAACTCAGTCCTCGCACTAACAGCTGTAAATCCACACACTTCACTGGGACTGAAACTTAATAATAATCACCCCAGAGCTAGATGAAATCCAGAATAAGGAACTTCCTTTACTGGTACCTTTACTGGACTCAGGCATGTCGAAGGGTGACTTCCTGCACCACTTCCCTACCAGGTGAGGAGCGGGAGAACAGCAGATGGTTACAGGCAGTGAGACAAGTTCATTCCCCTCCCCCTGAAGCCCTTCCTCCAGGGTACCAGGCCTGGACCGAGGCAGCAGCAATGCATCTAGCAGGCCCCAACTTGCATGAAATGGAGTTCAAGCAGGAATTAATGCAACCGACGCAAATGAAAGCTACCAATGGGGTCAAAGTATGGAAGGTCAAAGTCGGACAATCCCTGTCACCAGCCTTGCTTGCAGCCTGGGTCCAAGGAAGGGGGGAAAAGGTTGCATTTGGACCTTATTAAAGAACAGGTTAATGGGGGAGATTAGGGAGAGGCCTAGAAAAATAACGTGGGAGTTTGGAAAATAACGGCTTCTCTTCATGGTGCATTAGTCCACAGCAGAGGGGTGTAAATTCTAGTGAGCACTGTGTCCACTGGTGCGCACTGAAAGTTCCCTGGGGCACATTAATGTAGTACTGTTTGAAATGGAACTATACTAACGTGCACTAGGGACCTTTTAGTGTGCAGCAACAGGGACCACACGGACACTTTGTGCACAACACGTTAGTGCGCACCAGGACTTACACCCTGCTGGCTCGGACTAATGCGTCACATAGACGAGCCCTAAGAAACACTGAGTCAGGCACCCTCCCCCGTTAGCCCACTGGACTTTCAGACCTCCTTGCTGCTCAGTAACACTCAGATCTCAGACTGTGCTTTTCAGTGCACGCCACCTACCCCTGGCCACGTGCTGTGTTAGCTATGAGCCAAGGTGCTTCAAATGAAATAAAAGCCAACCTGAACCTTCAGCCAAAACGCAAAGTGAAGCTTTCTGGATGTCAGGCATCACAAAAGCCACAAGAGTTCTCGGGCAGATGCTCTGGCGGTTAGGCTTCTGGCTTCAAAAAGGTTAACTCGGAAGAAAGCAAACTCATTCCAGTCTCCAAGAAGCCTCACTTCGGCAGCTGCCTCTCTGCTCACTGACTTCAGCAGGGCTGGAATTGGAAACATGGAAATACCACGAGACTCTCGCGGCACTGCCAACCCAGCCAGGAACGGGAAATAACAGAAGTCGCTCACGAAAGCCGGTTACCAGGAAGTTTCCAGCCCAATTTTGCAAACTGTACAGCAACAAATAACACGACTGTATCCAGTGCTGCCCAGAGCCTGCCATTCGAGGAATATGAATGAAATCTTATCAACCCAGTGAGAGAGAGAGAGAGGTGTTATCGCCCCTATTGTTACCGAAGAGGAATCCGAGGCACAAAGCACAAATCACCCCTGGCATCGATGGGTAAAGCTCCCTTTGAAGTCAACAGGAGTTGTTCCCACTTCCATGAGTGCTGAATTTAATCCACTGTGCTGTGATCCTGCCCAGTATCATACAGCGAGTCATTGTCAGTGGCAGGATTAGAGCCCACAGGTGCTTTGCTCTTCACCTTGTGCCACGTCCACTAATGGAAGAGGTTCAGATCGTTCCAGCAAGCACTCAGATTTTTGAGCGCTTACTTGAAGCGACCTGCAAACCTTGCTCAGGTTCCCCACTCACTAGCACTCATCCTCTGCCGTTCCCTCCAGCTCTTTCCGAAGTAATGGGCATGACAGGTCAGGTGCCAACTTCGGGAAAGTCCAAAGAACAAAAAAGCCCCCGAACCAAGATGCTCCCAGCTTTGCCACAGGCGTAGCTGAGCAATAAAAACAAAACCAGCAAAGGTGTTCTACTCGAGTTCTGTTAGAGCTAAATGCACTCCCTGAAGAATGTAACGTTGCTGCTAAGACAACCAGCAGGGAAATAGTTCTGAGCGCTGACACTTAAGTGATCATCAGGCTTCAGAGCCAACAGACAGCCATTGCAGTAAATGAAACTCACACGCCTCTGAGAGCTATAGTGTCAGTCTGTCGGCAGACTCAGGAAGAGAGCACTGCATCTAGCCACACGTGGATAATCTAAACTAAAAAAAAAAAAAATAGGGCCCAATCATGCAAAATTTTGCTACTGAGCATAATCCAATCAAGGTCATTGAGGCAACTCACTTTAGTAAACTCTATGGGCCAGCCTGAGATATATCCCTACTCACACTAACCAGTACCTTAACGCTGTGATTAGCCCGATTAATTTCAATGGGACTGTCTATGGAATACAGTACTACCCAATGAGAAGGGGTATCATACAATCAGACCCTATTCTTCATGTTACGTTTTTAGAGGACTAGGCCCTTAAATTCTGCAGAACCTGATAGGGCCAACAAAGGAATGCAATAAATGTTTAGCACAACGACCCATGATGGCTCAGCCCATTTCCTCAAAGCTGTGAGTACACTTCTGATCCTGAGCTGTTTTCCATGCTGGTTTTCAACCCTGCTCTGAAATTTGCCCATCCTCAGATGTTTTCTCTTTAAAAAGTTTTTATAAATGCCTTAAATTACTTTCAAGCCCATCTCTCTCCCATTTTGATAATAGCTAGCACATTAAAGGTATACTAACAAGTAGGCTATGTCCAAGAACTAGCTTTTCTGTTAAAATGGTTTTGCAAAACAAGATTTTCAGGCTTTTCGTTACATATTTCAAACACAAAGAGGAGGTTGGAGGGGGGAGATGTTATTTGTTTAATTACCTTCAAACATTTACCAGCTGGAAAACAAAACTATCAGCACTGGATTTGTGCATGAGAACCTTGAAGTAAAACTGACTATAAACCGAAAATAAAACAAACCATTCTAGTTTTATGGTCCACAAGTGCAAGAAAGTAAACAAATAGTATAAATCGGGAACAACAAATTGTGCAGTAAAGATTCTTTCAATTTTAATAATCCAGGGTGCTCTCAGTAACATGTATCTATCTATTTAGATAATCTTGACAGGGATGTGTAATAAAGTGAAAATTAAAAGCACAATTTATATTCCTGTTTCAGACCTGGATTCAGTAAAGCACGTAAGCACATTCTTAAGTGCTTTGCTGCATCATGGGCCTTAGACACTGGCTTAGCCTTTATTGAAGTGTCCGGATTCATGGATGATCAAAGCAGTTTTATTACAGTGTATATCCAAGTCCATCCCTAAAGAGCTTCAGCACAGCACTCTTTGCACTTCTGCAGGGCTTGTCAACTAGGGACCAAAATGCCGTTTATATTAAGCCTCACAACATCTCTGTGAGGTCGCTATTATTACCCTCTTTTTTACAGATGGGGAAACTGAGGCACAGAATGGAATACAGACTTGCCTAAGTTCACACACACCAAGTCAATGGCAGAGTTGGAAACAAATTCTGGAATTCCATCTGCCAATACACCAGCATGTACTAACTCCTCCCAGCCGCATATATTCAGAACAACTGACTTGTCTATGAAAGCTAAAACGATGATTGTTATCTTTCCTGTAGCTGATATTGTGCTCACCAGGAGAGAGGAGAGCTTAGCAGGACTTCATTCAGCCTCAGTTTTAGATCCCTGCTTAACAAAATTGTGGCAGCAGAACTACAGTAATTACATCATTTCAGTCACACAATCTAATTACCATAATCTAAATGCAGTAAATAATTAGGAGAGTTTGAAAGGAAGCAGACTCCTGAACAGGGCTAGCAGAGCAATCTCACAGTCAGGGCTATTATTTGTTAGGACTGGGTGAATGGTTCCATAAAACAGTTCCTCATTTTCCACCATGCCTATACCGAGGGAGCGCATTACATCATCTGCACTATTTGTATATAAAATAATTATCTGAACCAGCGCAAGCATAAAGTGAGTAACCACACGATGAAAAGATGGCCCTTCCTCGTCCTATTCCCCCCGACTGTTTATCATCTACAATTTGAGGCGCAAACTTCAGAGCAGGGACTGTGTCTTTCTAAGATTTCCATAAAGCCCCTAGCAGACTTTGGGGCTCTGTAAAATATTAAACAGGAGAGGCACACAGGTTCACAATAGCCAAACTAAAACCAATCTTTGCCCTTTCAAATTTTGAAAAACAGGGTGGATGAGGCCATATCTTGTATTGGACCAACTTCTGTTGGTGAGAGAGAGAAGTTTACACAGACCACTTCTTGAGACCTGCAGAAGAGCTCTGTGTAAGCTC